CTCTCCCTCTCTCTCCCTCTCCCTCTCTCTCTCTCTCTCTCTCTCTCCTGCTGTGTGTGAGGGTGTTTGTGTGTGTATGTTTGTCCTGTGAGGGTGCTGTGTGTGAGGGTGTTGTGTTTTTTTTAAAGGTGCTGTGTGTGTTTGTGAGGGTGTAGGTGCTGTATGTGTGTGTACTGTATGTTTGGAGGGATTTGGCAGATTAGTAAATCCTTGCTGCCATGTGCCATCCCTGGTGGTCCAGTGGAGAGTGAACTCTAGCCTGCGGGGCTAGAGTTAACTCTCGCGAGATCTGAGCGTTGCCACAGCAACGCTCAGATATCGCGAAAGGAACCTGGCGGAGCTTCTGTCTAGAGCTCCCTGGGTCCTCTACTGCCTCCCTCCAAGCTGCTGTGGGCCGGTGAGGTAGATCTTTGGTCTCCCCGCCGGCCCATGAAGGCTTAGAGCAGAGCCGGCACTCAGATAGCGCCGGCTCTGCGTGTGTATGTGTGTATATATATATATGTGTATATATATGTACACACACACACACTGACAGACACACACATACACTCACAGACACACACACACACTGACACACACACATACATACTCACAGACACACACTCACAGAAACACACACACACTCACAGAAACACACACACACACACACACATACTCAGACACACACTCACAGACACACACTCACACACACATACATACTCACAGACACACACTCACAGAAACACACACACACACACACACACACATACTCACAGACACACACACACTGACACACACACATACTCAGACACACACTCACACACACATACATACTCACAGACACACACTCACAGAAACACACACACACTCACAGAAACACACACACACACACACTCACAGACACACACACACTGACACACACACATACTCACACACACACATTATTATATATATATTTTTTTTTTAAATGTCCACCCAGCCTCCTACCTGGAGTGCTGGTGGACTTGTCCCTGGGGTCCAGTGGGGGCGGGCGCCTTTCTCCAGTTCAGCCGCGGCGAGGGAGCTCTCTGCTCTCTGCTGTCTGCTCCCTCTCGCCGCGCGGGCTGTCTGCTGGAGCCGGAATATGACGTCATATTCCGGCTCCCGGCATCAGCGCGCGGCGAGAGGGAGCAGACAGCAGAGAGCACACAGCTCCCTCGCCGCGGCTGAACTGCGGGGAGGGGGGAATGGGGGGGGCGGGGGGGTAATCCATCACCTCTTGCCCCCCCCCATGACAGGGGCAAGAGGTGAGACAGGGGGCGCTGAGTGCCTGCAGGAACAGCGTTCCTGCTCAAAAAAAGTGCAGGAACGCTGTTCCTGCAGGACTCAAGCCATAGGCGTGCCACGGGGATTAGGGTGTGCCCAGGCACACCCGGCACACCCCGTGCGCACGCCTATGAAGGGACACTCCAGGCTCCCACACACGTTAGGTGCACTGTGTAGGTTAGGTTACAGTTAGTTATACTGGGTTGGTTTATATTATTAAAGGGACACTCCAGGCTCCCACACACGTTAGGTGCACTGTGTAGGTTAGGTTACAGTTAGTTATACTGGGTGGGTTTATATTATTAAAGGGACACTCCAGGCTCCCACATACGTTAGATGCACTGTGTAGGTTGGGTTACAGTTAGTTATACTGGGTGGGTTTATATTATTAAAGGGACACTCCAGGCTCCCACACACGTTAGATGCACTGTGTAGGTTAGGTTACAGTTAGTTATACTGGGTGGGCTTATATTATTAAAGGGACACTCCAGGCTCCCACACACGTTAGATGCACTGTGTAGGTTAGGTTACAGTTAGTTATACTGGGTGGGTTTATGTTATTAAAGGGACACTCCAGGCTCCCACACACGTTAGGTGCACTGTGTAGGTTAGGATACATTTAGTTATACTGGGTGGGTTTATATTATTAAAGGGACACTCCAGGCTCCCACACACGTTAGATGCACTGTGTAGGTTAGGTTACAGTTAGTTATACTGGGTGGGTTTTATATTATTAAAGGGACACTCCAGGCTCCCACACACGTTAGGTGCACTGTGTAGGTTAGGTTACAGTTAGTTATACTGGGTGGGTTTATATTATTAAAGGGACACTCCAGGCTCCCATACACGTTAGATGCACTGTGTAGGTTAGGTTACAGTTAGTTATACTGGGTGGGTTTATATTATTAAAGGGACACTCCAGGCTCCCACACACGTTAGGTGCACTATGTAGGTTAGGTTACAGTTAGTTATACTGGGTGGGTTTATATTATTAAAGGGACACTCCAGGCTCCCACACACGTTAGATGCACTGTGTAGGTTAGGTTACAGTTAGTTATACTGGGTGGGTTTATATTATTACAGGGACACTCCAGGCTCCCACACACGTTAGATGCACTGTGTAGGTTAGGTTACAGTTAGTTATACTGGGTGTGTTTGTATTATTAAAGGGACACTCCAGGCTCCCACACACGTAAGATGCACTGTGTAGGTTAGGTTACAGTTATACTGGGTGGGTTTATATTATTAAAGGGACACTCCAGACTCCCACACACATTAGATGCACTGTGTAGGTTAGGTTACCGTTATACTGGGTGGGTTTATATTAATAAAGGGACACTCCAGGCTCCCACGCACGTTAGATGCACTGTGTAGGTTAGGTTACAGTTAGTTATACTGGGTGTGTTTATATTATTAAAGGGACACTCCAGGCTCCCACACGCTGACTCAGCTGAACTCAGAAGCTTGAGATAAGGATTAAAGCCCTCACACTCTCCAGTCACCCTAAATGTTGAAAAAAGCAGGAGCTAAGTACTTAGTATGTTTGTGAATCTAAAGTCCTGGGTTTCCACCGGTTACCGATTATATTTACAGTGTTAAGGAAAGACTGCATCTGAAATATCCAATATCGATATGCAAAACAGAGGTATAAGATATAAAATGCACTATATAGCATTTAGAAAAGGACCAATATTAATAAACTTCACAATAAAATAATATTTCTAAAACAGTGAAACACTCCAAGTTCTAACTCCCAAATATTCACGCCCACAGGCTGATGGGAAGAACTATTTTTACATTTGTGTTTTTATCGTTTTTTGAGATACAAGAACCAGGCCAGCTCCATCTTTCTTCCCTTATCCAGTCTAACTCTCAACAGATACAACTTTCTATACTATAGGTAAGTTGCACAGAAATGGAATGTGGGAGTTATAGTCAGGTAAGTGCTTGATGTAAGAGTTTAAATCCTCCTTGTGGAGATCATTTCAAACACAGCACAGAGGCTGCTGGCTAAGCATCATTAGAGTTGCTGGTCTTATCGCATGACCTTGTCACTCAGTAACTGCCAGAGCTACACGCATGGTGGGTATGTCAGCAATATGTGATTGTGGTCATTTATTTCTAAAGCATTCATTATGCGAACTGTGTACAGAAATGTGTCCTTTGTGTGAAATTGCTTTTGGTTACATTTGTTGCATTGATACATTGATACATATTATGGAGAATGATTAATTTTCTAATTTATTTGATCTATCCACACTGGTGTTACAAAGGAAGAACGCTTCACATATATCACATATACATAACAAGGTCAATATCTGGAGAATAATTAAACACTAATCCATTTTATTGTCAGGTATTTCAGCGAACCATCACCACCTCTCAGCAGCGTGTATTATTCTATACTTATTATACACCCCCCCGTATTATTGTGAAAACACTATTTAAAATAAATAACAATAAAAATAATAAACATTTAAAGAAAACACATTTACTAGGTATAATTCTGTGCCTATGGCACTCTTCTGCAGTTTACCCAGAGAAAATTATTTTGTATGCAACACTAAAGAGTGGATATTTTGTGTAATTTTCTCCAAAATCAAACTTGGAAGAATTAAGATATAAACTGGCAATTTTACAAATAAATAATAGTTACATTACAGTAGAGGGAGGTACAGTAAGTGCAGTAGGTATACAGTGTATGTATATTGTATTTATATAGCGCTAACAGGTGTACTCAGCACTTTACAGGTTACATTACAG